TAGTGAGTGTGTGAGTGTGCTCGAGTGTTAGAGTGATGCGTGTGGGATATCCAGGGTGATCCAGTGTATGTGAACAGTGAGATGTTTGGGCGCTGAAGTCGCCATAGCGAATTGAGAGTGAACTCGTATCTGAAAGCCATATCTCTGAGTTTTGAGTGGGCGCATGTCGCCAGTATGCTGCGCTGCTGTTTACATGCATGAAAAGTGTGTTTGAGAACGAGTCTGATTGCAGTACCATCAGATTGCAATCCGGTCCGAGGATCAACACAAAACCGCCTTTTCAGACCAGGTATGGTCTGTACGAGTTTGTGGTGATGCCTTTCGGCCTTTGCAATGCTCCTGGCACCTTTCAGCACGCTATGAATCGGATTTTCCATGACTACTTGGATAAGTTTGTGATCGTGTACCTCGATGACATACTTATTTTTAGTAAGACTGTCGAGGAACATGTTGCACATTTGGACAAAGTCCTTAGTCTCCTGCGACAGCACAAGTTCAAGATCAACGGTGAGAAGTGCGAGTTTGGCCGCACCCGTGTCTTGTACTTGGGTCATGAGATCTCCGCGGAAGGGTTAAGGCCCGATGACGCGAAGGTGGCCAGCATTCGTGATTGGCCACGTCCTCAGTCTGTGACTAAGATGAGATCTTTCTTGGGAATGACAGGCTACTATAGGACTTTCGTTAAGAACTATAGCATAGTGGCCGCTCCTTTGACTGATCTAACCCGCCTTGACACCCCATGGGAGTGGACAGATGAGTGCGAGGCTGCTTTCAGACATCTGAAGCATGCGTTGACGCACTACGAGGTCTTGAAACTTCCTGATCCTGACAAGCCGTTTATAGTCACCACGGATGCCAGCCAATATGGCATTGGCGTCGTGCTTGCGCAGAAGGAGGGGCCAAAGTTGAGGCCTGTAGAGCACATGTCCAAGAAAATGTCGTCTCAAAAGTTGGCTAAGTCCACCTATGAGAAGGAACTCTATGCGGTGTACAAAGCTCTGACCCACTAGAGACACTATCTCCTTGGGAGGTTCTTCATCCTCAGGACTGATCATCAGACTCTGAGATGGATGAAAACTCAGCCTGTACTTTCTGACGCCCTTACGCGTTGGATCGAAGTCATTGAGCAATATGACTTTGACCCTCAATATCTCAAAGGGGAGTACAACAAGGTTGTTGATGCCTTGTCGCGTAGACCTGATTTCTCCGGTGCGCTGATTAATGAGTTTGATCTGACGGACAATGTTACTCAGTCGTTGGTGGAAGCCTATCGCGAGGACCAGTTCATGTTTGAGATCATACGCAGACTCGAGGCGAAGGACAAGAAGACGTTTGCCGAGTTTGAGTTGGTCAATGGTTTGCTGTTCCTTGAGAAGGAAGAGAATAAACGATTGTGTGTCCCAAATAGCGAGTCTTTGCGTAGTTTGTTTTTAGGTGAGTGTCATGATGCCACCGGCCATTTTGGGTATAAGAAGACCGCAGCCAATCTGCTGCAGCGGTTCTGGTGGCCCACGATGATGCGAGATGCCCAGCTGTACGTAGAGACTTGTCAAGTTTGTCAAAGGGACAAGCCACGTACCCAGGCTCCTCTTGGGCTTTTGAGTTTGTTAAAGGGACAAGCCCGGAACGGCCTGGTGAGAGTTTGTCCATGGATTTCATGGATACTCTAATCACTAGCAAGAGCGGGATGCGTCACATCTTCGTCATCGTGGATAGATTTAGTAAGTATGCGAGGTTAGTAGCCAGGCCGGAAACAGCAAAGACGGAGTATGTGATCCGCATGTTCAAAGAGAACTGGGTTAGAGACTTTGGTTTACCGAAGTCTATTGTCAGCGACAGGGATGCCCGGTTTACCAGCGAGTTATGGAAGGCCGCTGCTGCAGAGCAGGGCACTTAGTTGCAAATGACTTCTGGGAATCACCCAGAGGCCAACGGCCAGGCCGAGCAACTGAACCGCGCGGTACAACAGCTGTTGAGGCATTACATCAAGCCCAACCAGGTGGACTGGGATGAGAAGCTTGCACTCATCGCCAGTCTGTATAATAATGCGGTACACAGTGCCACCGGGGTGAGCCCGAACAGTTTGCTACTGACTTTCAAGCCTAGACTACCCCTGGATTTTCTCCTTCCTGAGAATCAGTCGACTGCTGCACCAGGTACATTAGAGTTTGCTTACCGCTATGAACAGAAGATGCAGAAGGCTCAGGCTGCAATGATACAGTCTGAGAATAGACACCGCCGGCCTTCTACATTCCAGGTTGGGGATACGGTCAAGGTTAAATCTTCAGAACTGGGACAGGAGCACGGGATCTCCAGCAAACTCATGCCCCAGTACTTTGGACCCTGGGAAGTCTTGGACATCGTTGGGACAGATCCGGATGGGCCATCTTATGTTATCCGGATCCCTGGTCATCTCCGTACTTACCCTGTCTTTCACACATCCAAGCTGGCACCTTTCAAAGAGACTGATCAGTTTCCATCTCGTCGCGCAATGCTGCCCCCAACCATGGACGGAGAGGTGGACATCGATGACATCGTGGATCACAGAGAGCTGCCGGTATCAAGACCAGCAGGCAGGGGATGTCCTCCGAAACCGAATCTACAGTACCGCGTTCTGTTCCGGCATCACACTGATCCGAAGGAGGACTGCTGGTTCACCAGGGAAGAACTCATGCAGACCGCTCCTCAAGTTGTAGCCCAATACGAGAGATCTCTGCAGAAGGGAAAGCGCCCCATGGTTGAAGACTGAGCTTCTCAGAGGACTGTTGACGCTAAGGAGGAGGGAATGCGAGGCCACTGCCTTTATGAGCCCCATAAGGCCCCATTTTGCAGCCCGCCGGCCGCCGTAAGTGAAGGCAGGCTCGATGAGGCCCCTCAGGGCCCTTTTTCTGGCCACCACGCAACTCAGGGGAATTCAGGCAGTTGCGCAGCGCCAGTTGGTTGAGTAAACCCTGCCTTGGGCCGCCTGTGTGAATGAATGTGAAGCAGGCCCTGGGCTGGATACGGGTACTGGGCCAAACACAGGCCAAAGGCAGTTGGGCACATGCAACCACCTCAGGCCCAAGGCCTGTTTTCGTCGTGCTGGGCCTCAGGCTACCGGGGCCTACTGGAAGCTTCCTGGGACTGGACGCAGGCAGGCCACTTCGATATAGCAAAGGGCCTGCCTCCTCATTCGGCATTCGGGTGCTGGCTGCATGCTGTGCAAGAGCTGCTGCGCTATTTGCTGGCTGGTACCTACGCTCTCACGGGCGAGCAGGGAAGGAGCACGCAGCCATAGCCGAGCTGCGCTGCTGTAAGCTGGGTGAGGCGCAGGGTGGTCCTTGGGTGCTAGTGGCATCTGTGCGTTGGGGAACGAGGTTCTGAGTGTGGCGAAAGACATACCTGGTGCTGGAAGCGTGCGACATTGGTCGCCATATGCTCGTTCTTCGGGAAAGCTGTTGACGTCATCTTTCGGCATCGTAGTGTAGGCTAGATAGGATCTGCCACATGTAGTCTGGGCGCCGAGCGCCAGATAGGATATCAACTCTGGTTCTTCGTTGATGATGATGGGGCTATTTCAGCATTGTCAATTATGAACTCTTGGTGTGATCTTATTTGGTGAATCTCGTGATGCATTTCTGCTGTTGGTTCGAGGTCACGACTATCTGGACTCATTTGTATGATGCTGTTTGATTGCTGAAGTTCGCTATTGCTCATCTTCCTTGCGTAGAGCAGTACAATGAAGTAATGAACCAATGTTCAAGCCCGTAGGCCACACCAACACAGTATCCAAAGTCGCTCCTCTCTGTCTGGTGCCAAGCGCCCAGCCTACTCTACCTGACTATCCTACCTACAGCTGCTTCACGCAACAGGCTCACTTCGACTCTCAAAGACCAATGTACATGACTGTCAACACCATAGCCGACCTCTCTTCATGCACCAGGTACGTTTCTCGTCACCCTCAATCAGACCTTGATTACCCACACTTGCCTCCTTCCCTGAAGACCACCTGATCGCTCTCCTAGCCCCTGGCGCCCAGCAGCCCGGCTATGGCTGCCTGCGCCCCGCTGTCCAGCAGCGCCCCACCTCACCACTACGCACCCCGTCAGCGCCTTTGGCAGCAGTGCAGCAACACTTCCGCATTGCCTGCACTGGCCAGAATGCCTGGCCTGGGCCGCCTCACTTCTTTTATGGAAGTGGCAGCCTCCTGGATGCTGCGTGTGGCCTGGCTGGAAGCTTCCAGTAGCTTCCGGTTGGGCCTCAGACCCTGCGCCCAGGCCCGAGATTACAGTTGAGGGCCTGGGCCCTTTTCAGTTGGGCACGGTGTTGGGAGGAAACCCGGGGAGGGGCGCCTACCGTTCGCTGAAGCCAAGGGCAACAGCGCCTGTCACTCGCTGCGCCCGCTTCCGAGGTCCTCAGCGACCAGTAGGGTGCCAGTTTATGTTTTGGTCATCTGTCACGTTCCTTTTTGAAGACCGAACTCAGGCAGCGTTTTCAGTTTTCCCGAAAGGTTGGAGAGGGAAGCAAGGCTCGATCAAGCTTTTATTGATTCTAGGATGTAAACACATATCTTTGCTGTGACCAATTCCTTCCAATATCAAATGGACGAAGAAAATGGCAATGAGATCGAAAGTTTAATAATGATTGTCGCCCATACACCTCGCGATAATCGAGAGTTATTTCGTTAATGAACCGTGTAGAACAATAGCACAAAACTGGTTGATCTCCTAATGAACAGTAGGTGTCTGACGCCTTGGATGATTTTGGTTCCCCTTCAGGTTAGACTCAAATAAATAAATAAATATACCAATAAATAAAGTGAGCTTCCCGACGGCGCCTTCCCTCACTTTCTCCCATACCAATTCTCTCTCTCTTCCCCTCTCTCTTCCCTCACTCAGTTTGTGTGTGTGTGAGTGAGTTCATGCCCACTATGCATAACTCCCGGAAGGAACTCACGGAAGCAACTAGACGTCCGACTGTTTGATTACTCACTCGTGATCAATGTTGAC